AAACGTCTTACGGTGGCCAATACCTTTTGGTATTAAAAGCCTGCACTAAACTCAAGGCTGCTCAGACAGCAGTTACAGAAGACTTAAACTGAAGCTTCTGCAGTCCCCTTCTTTGCTGCCCACCCCCTCTGTGAAGTGAACTTCCTCATTTTTCTCTTAGAGTCTGCTTCTTTTCAGGTCCGCTCTCTGAACCTGTTCACCACCACTCTGACATGAGGCATTTAAGCATACTCTGTTCCATCATCTCTGTATGGCAGTGTCATACTTCTTCTCTTTGGCTATTATTTTGACTTTTTGACAATAATTAGGGGTGAAAAATACAGGAACATTAAATTACATCAATAGGAACACACAGATACTGCCAATGAAAAAGTGGATGAACATTAAAATAAAATTTCATGTCAGAACAGACCAATAAACAGTTATTTAAAAAAAAAAAAAATCTGTCAGCAGCTACCTTGGTTAAATAAATTACTAGTAAATTTCTGCTACTGGATAACAGGAAGATATAACCTTCTAAACAAGTATTATGCAACCACTGCTGTGAAATATTTAGACAACTAGCAAAATTTAGTCTCGTGTATTTAATATGCAAGGGAAAACTACTGCGTCACTGGTCACTTTGCAGCTGAAGGTATTGGTTTCTTCTGCTTTATTTAATTCTTTCTACAAGTATCAGTAACAGCATATGGATAAAGTGCAATTTTTGATTCCGGCATGCTGCTTAGTTCTAAACATTACAATGTAGAAATATTTCAAGTTGCTATTAATATGAGGTGCGTCCTTTATATTTTCATATATCTTTCTGCTGAGTGAAAAAAATCGATGTAGTGAAACTGCTAACAAGCTGAGCCTTTGAAACCATGGGCAGGTGATGAAAGCCACCTCATGTCTAAAGCATCCCCAGGTCACAGCTGTCACACTCACTGCAATTCATTGCTGTCACAATCTGCTGTCCCTGCTTGTTGTTGCTCTCCTCTTATTCATCCAACTCATATATCTAAACATTCCATTACAAAAAGACATCTAATGTTCGTCTTGTGTTCAAAAGGGCACAACACTCTCCTGAAATATAATTCTGAAGATTTTAGAGCTCAGAGTTCACTGCCAAACCTAAGGTGTTGCTTTGCAAGGCTTCCCTTGTAATTTTGTCTTTGTCTCATCTCCTGGACGTAGCAGGATAAAATGTTTGGTTAGTACATGATCTCAGCTTTATTCCAACTTCTTATCATGAAGAAATGAAATATTGCCCAGTAATAGAAAGGCATTTGAAGCTTTGTGAGTTTAAAGATAACAGCACTAACTGTGAACTCGGTGAATTGGAAGGAAAGGTCAGCAAGTCACCTACTGTGGCACTGTTCACAAAGGCAATTCTTCTACCCAATGAACCAGGTTGTTTATAATCTGAAGACTCAGATTTTCTAAGACTTAATTTTGTTCTTTTGTTACTTAATTAGATAAGGTTACTATTGATTTACTTTTCAGAGTAGAAGTTTCCCATAGATCTCTTAACTTTCAAGTAGAGTGTAAACTTGTAAACATCTCGTACTCTAATTTCAAATCTATGCTGTCATTTCAGGTTACAACTCCAAGATGAGTGATTCACTAACTTTCCAAATCAGCTTGTGGAAACACTGTCACTGATGAAAAACATTTAAGTAAAGTTAGGGTTAAAAAATGAGCCAGGAGGTAACGAAAACAAACCTCAAAAGTCTAAAAATGTAGCAGTAAAAGAAAGGAAGATATGATTCTAACAACAAACAGTTTTGGAAAAGAGAGACACTGCATTATTTATCCGTTCCTGTAAAAATAAAGAAAAAGGAGGTTTGACCTTCTCACTTACTCCATTCTCCAAGATATTTATTTTGATTGTTGTATAAATTATTATTCATAATCTTTATATTGCCAATGCCAGGTTCAAAAAGTACGCTGATTAGAGAGTTTCCTGCTCAACTACTCAGTTCAATGGACACAAAAATCACAGCCTCTGACTACGCCTAGTGAGAAACAGGTAAATTGCTAGTGACATTATGTCTATGCTCATGGGAAGAAAATCCCCCTAACAATGACCTCATGCTTTTATGTTGCTGGGGTTTATGTTTCAATCCTGTTTAGTATTAAAAAATAGGAACATAATTACTTGGCCGGGCTGTCTCTATCCACATGACTATATTCATCTCTCACAGACAAATACAGAGGACATAAATCTAGACAGACTTTGTACCACAAAGGAGCTGAGGGAAAGAGTAGGAAAGTCCTGTAAGAGTAAATTCCTGAGCCCTTAGAGCGTTATTGAAATAACCATGTGCAGCAAGATCTTATATTTAGAAGTTGAGTTTTGGATGCCAGATTAACACCTGTGTTTATGCATTTACCTGTAGTATAAAGGTATTGTGGGCAATAAGTCACAGAAGCACAGGAGAACCTGTCTCCATCGGGTTCTAAGTAAACATTCCAAAACTCTAACTTAATCGTGCAGACTTCAAAAAATGTATATTTCACCCTTGAGTGAGTGCACTTTTCTAAACAGAACTTAGGTTAATTTGGCTATTTAAAAAAACTTCATTGTATATCCACATCTTTTTAATTTATGGTTATGTGCAAACCAGATGGGAACATGAAACCTGGTTTGTTAAATAACTTGCACAAGATGTTATGCCAGGAGCTGCACAAAAGTTGGCAGCTATGATGAAGTTTTTATTAGCATGAATATGGGATAGCTTAATTTTCAGAAACAACAGGGATAAATAGTGTAGATTATTAATGCATATAAATGGATAAAGAAGCAAGATTTTGAAAAAAAAATGATTCTCCAGTTACAAACTGCTGCTAAAATGTTTCAAACAGAGAACCAAAATTTCTAGCTACTTTCAAAATCTTCACTTAGATTATAACAAAACTAGCTTTCCAACTAGATAAACTGGAAGAATTAACTTGTTAAGAAGTTAATGAACTCAAGGATAAGGAAAATTTCCTGGTATCACACCGCTGATAGTTAAAATAATATACATAGTTACATGATGACAGAGTCTCCCTTTCAGAGTCCAATCCTTTTAAACCCACTAGACGGGTTTAGATCAGATGAGCCAGAAGTACTTCTTAATTAAGTGCTTCCTAGGTCCAGCAATGTTCCCATAATGGGGTGAGATATGTGGACACACCAGGACCTGCCTTCCACAAAAGGAAACCTGTTTTTTACACAGCCTAGGAGCTATGCTGTGTTCCAAACGTACCTGATTTTGGTAACTGGACACAAAGATCAGGGGTCACATTGGGGTGTGGTCCAGTAGACATATTTAAATGTAGGCCACAGTAACTTAGGCAACTGTAATGGCTAGAACTAGCTTGTAAAGCGACTTTACAAGCTAGAAGGCAGCTTGTCAAGGTTTAGAAACAGAAGATTACTAATCCTCGTGAAAGTCAAATTCTGTGCTCTTTCATAAGAAATCAAATAGCTTACAGAAAATGAAAGAAGGGAAAATAGTAGGACAAACAGTGAAAACAAAGTTTTGTTGCTGTAGTAATTCATACTTCTCAGGTGTCATTTAGCTCCATCCCAATCTTAATTTTTTAGATACCTCTGTAATACAGCGGTCACTGTTCCAATTTAGAAAATAAATTTAGAATCAAATAAAGCACCGTGTATGTTCCAGAGAACTTTAGTATCATGTAACTCTTACTAAATACTGCTCAAGTGAAAACAGAAAAACAAAGGTGCAGAAATCACCATGTAATCAAACAGTCTGTTTGCAGCTTTTATATTCCCAAGATATGGGCAAGATGGACATTAGGGATGAAATCTAACCTTGCGGTCATAGCACCTAAAGAAACAATTCTTCTAAAACCGATGTCTTAACTCCCCTTTTCATCAAAGATGAGAAAAGGATGCCACTGAAGGCCTCCAAAGGAGATCCTACATTTGAAAGTGCAGGTACCTACATTAGGTCACCAGACAATATTTTTCTATGTCAATAGCAACATAGATTTTAACTGAATGTTCTTCTACGGTTCTGGGTTTGTTTGGTTAAAGAGGACAGAAGAACAAACACGCTGAATGTGCCAATAAACACAGACCTCTTCACTCTGCTTATATCAACATGAGCTTCAAAACTTCTGCAACTCTTGATTTGAAGGTCCAAGAGATTTTAAGTTTATTCCATTTTTGTCAATGGAATTGCATTAATGGACAGATTTCCAACATAGCCCTAAAGTATCAAATAACCTTGCCTTCCCATGTCTGTTACATAAACCACAAAAGTTTCTGGACTGTCTGTATCTCATTTATTAGAACTAAAAAAGTATAACAGGTAAAATTTAAATATCTGAATAAATGTCAAACCAAATTATAAATATGTAGTGGTAAGGGAGGAATGCCTTTATAATGAAAACAGATCACCTTCAGTCAAAAGGAGAGAAGACTCCTTGCCTGTGCTTAATACCTCTAGAACCAGATTAATTTAGTTACAGGCAACAAACAAAACCCAAAATGGGTAGCCAATTTCAGGTATCACATATTTTCAAGATATCTATACAATATTACAATTCTGGACTGAAAATTACTAGGTCTGGTCTGTGTAGCTTCATTCCATCCTTTTCCATGATTTGGCAATTTAGGTTTCAGCTTCAGTTCAAATGCTTAGATTTAAAAGTTGGAAGAACAGTCCCTTCTAATTTAAGAAAGGTGCAATTTCTTCCTTGATATCTTGAACAATGTTGCCATTAGATTACAGACTATGAAATATGGGAAAATGAAAGCTCTGGCTTCTTTATAAAAAAGCTTCAACTTGAAAACTGTTTTAATATTGATTTAGAGAGGGGTAGAAGAATTGAGAAGATAACACTGGCCACCAGCAGCCTATTGGGTTCCCAGAGCTACAACAGTTGAGTTTCTAGTACATATTGACTTTATGACCTACCTTATAACATCTGACACCTTTACAATATTTATGACAGTTGTGAGTGTGCTAGAATTTATCTATTTTATCATTTGATATAGTTACCTTAATAACAGATGTCTCAACTCTGGATGGAGGACTCTGCACTTGTGCTGCTGCCGCCATGTTGGCGATGGTACTAAGGTGATTCATCTGGCTCATTGCCATCGTGACAGATGCTGGAGGTAGGCTCACAGGAATTAACGGATGGGGCATCATCATAAAAGGAAGTTCCAATCCTGGTGGAGGAAAAAAAAAGGAAATATTTTTTTTTAAATATTGACTTTTTTTGTTTTTTTTCTCCTGATGGACAATATAGCGATGGGTGACAAGATGGTTCACACTGCAGGATAAAGCATCTGTATGTCAGTTCTCTTCTGGGATATGAATGGGTAAATCACTAGCAACCATGGAGAGTTTCTAGCCACAAGGAGAGGCTATTAGACCTCTTAGTTTGTTCATATAAGTGTAATGTATGATACCATTGCTAAGCAATGGCTGTTTATTATCTTTTTTAATATCTACTGTAAGGTGCCTTAGCAATGCATTATTATGCCACTGATGCACAGGTTAGCAGTTATTTTAAGTATCAATTTTATTGCATATGTATTTGTTCTTTATTGTCTCCGCTTCCCCTGCTTAATACTTTAAAGGAAGTATTCCGATATTCCCCACATCTTTAATTTTTCATAGCCTATTTATATAAACACAAAATAAAGACAGGAATTGGATAACTGCTGATGTTAGTGCTGAAAGATGTCAACCCGTACCATTTGGCAGAAGGTGGTTCTGTTGAAGAGGGTTGAGAGGATGGCTAACTGGAACACTATGTTGTCCAGGCAAGTTGGGGTGGTTAACAGAGGCCTGTGATCCTTGGGTGGGGGGAGACTGAAGTTTTTCTTTATCCCAAGAACCATCACTGCTGCCTGTGGGGAATGAATATATATTATTTGGATGAAGGAAGACTACAAATTTTCAGTGTTTGAATTTGCAAGCAAGGCCAGCAATCTAACCTGTTTTGCAAGTGGCAATTTTTAAATTTTTTTTTTTAATATGTGGTTTGGGGGAATGACTTTGTTTTTTCCACCCTCTGAAACAGATATGTAAGGATAATTTTTTAAGGCTAAGAGTTAGAACACAAATCTAAAGTTTGTGTCTGATGTATGCTTTACATATATTTCTGCCAACCTTAGCAAGTAAAACTACATATGGCATTTGTTTTATAAGTGAGAGAATATTTTTGCCTGTAAAATGTCTAAAAAAAAAAAGAGTACTGCCTGTTATGTCAATTAAAATTTAAACTACATTCATATTTCTTCTTGTATTTGGGAAAAAATAAACATTATAGGAAGTAACTAAAAATTTAATTTATTGAGGGCACCAACACGCCTGTATATATGCTTGGCTGATGATTCTATTTTGTATATTCAATTTTTATTTCATATTATTAATTAAAATGTAAGGTATTATTAATCAATTCCTGCAGTCTTCTGGTAGTGGAATGGACAAACAGCAAGGAAGAAAGTGGACAAATAAGCATTGAGACGAGCAATAATTCATACATTTAGGAAATACCCTTTTTCACTGTTGCAGACCTCCTCATAAAAAATAGCCACAAAATTAACCAAAAGGAATTAAAGGACAATACTAAAAAATCATGTAACATTATTAATTTGTATATTTATATATAATAAAAAGTTTTAAATCTTCCATCTGACAACTTATATTATTCAAGGTGCATATTTATGTATTATGCTGAGATTGAGTATATGTACATTTATGCATACAAAGTAATCCATACACTCATTATTTACCATATACAATCAATAATCAAAGTTTGAATATATTAATGAATATGTATATATGCATGCATTCTCAGCAGTATTAATATACACATCAGCAACACATTATTGCTTCCTTTTCCGTATAGGACACAATTTCACCCTCCTGACTTTGAAAGATTCTATTATTTTCATGGGAATCTCTCTTGATAAGGACTTCAGGATAGCAGCAGTCGAGATCTATTTAGTCTATACTCAATTTCTATTTAGCATCAGGGATTACAGTGAAGTGTGTATTTCTGAATGTTTTTCTATATACATCTTGCTACTTAATGAACAATGGGACCTGAAAAACAATGTGCCTAATACCACCTCCTTCCTTCAGTAGAAATGGGATTAGAGCTTTAGTCTTGACATTTTTTAACATCGTTTTCATGGGATGACAAAAGCACAAAAGTTGGTTGAATTCCAATTTAATTTCTCTAGATCTATTAAAAACCTGATTGTAAAAGCTGCACAACATAGTTTATAATGAAAAATATGCCATTATTGCCATGATTTTCTTTCCCCAGTTACTTCATGAAGACAGTTAAGGCTCAATATAAATTCTAACTCATTAGCTCAATACTGTCTCAATCCCAGTGTAAATTGTTCAGAAGTAGGTAATGAAAATTCAGTCCAAACTCTCCCGCAATCAAACAAAGCAATTTTATGAAACAATGAAAAGATTCAATTATATGAGATACTTTTATTATTTTACAAGAAATTGTCGCAACCTTTATGCGGTGTACATAGTTGAGTGGTTAATACGTTATTTGAATCTCATCATCTCTGATAAGTGAACATGTTTTCTTGTATTTTGAGAACTCAGAGACTCTCAAAAAACCATGAACTTCCTTTCAAACACACACGTAATTGAAGGAGCTAAATCTTAGCTCGACAAATAATTTTTTTCCTTCTAATTTTCTTTTCTCTAATTTTATGCTTTTTGCCACTGTGACATATACATTTCGCTCATTCTGAATATTTATCCATTAAAAACTACTACCCTGGATATGAGAGCTAAACACAAAAAGTTCATCTCACTTCTTTCTAGCCAACATGTAGGTCTTGATGCAGATTCAATAAAGGAAGACAGGTAGTTCCAAACGGTCATTCATCCCATGTTTAGGGCACGTGTCCATAAACCAGCAAAGCTTTTTTCCTGGTACTTAGGGATTCATTAAAAAGCAACCACCAAAAATCTCAATGTCAAGTCCCAAGCAAGAACAAGCCCCACCTTAACTTTTGCATCCGTTGAGAAAAGCTGAAGAGAGAACTTTGTTCTGGCAGACCTTGCAAGTGGAGCACACACCGCTCTAGTTCCATGCTCAGTGTGGTACTCCCTCTCTTCCTGTGGTTAATGGGAAGGCAGCAAAGGCCGGCCACGCTGGCCAGTCGAGTGCAAGTGTGATTGCCCTGTGATTCAGATGAAGTCAGCCCTGCCTGGTGATCGGGTAATGCCCAAATGAAACAGAGAGGGAAATACCGCAAGAGACAAATGGAATGAACGGCCTCTGGGCATGCCTTCATCTGTACAGTAACTGCAGAAGAAGCTTTTACAAATGGCTTAGACTTCGATGGCTTAAGTAAGATGAATCTGGGCCAGAATGTCTTGGGTTTTTTAGTTATAAACGCTCCTCTTCACCATACACTGAAGTTTCTTTTGTGGACATTTATGTTTTGTGCTTTATAAACAACAGAGATAGAAAAGGCTACATTTGTAAAATGTATTTCTGACTTGGAGCAAAATTCTCTAATTTACATGTAAAGTTCTAATATTCTTAACAAGGTCACTGTCTTACAAATCCTTTAAGCTTATTGTTTTGTACTTTCCCATCAAAGCATGATGACATACATATGCCATATATGTATATAAAAATATATATATTAGTAATTAAATGAATATAAGCAAGGAAGATCTTTGCATTTTCTAGGGCTGGGGAATGCCTGATAATAAGATATTTTCCCTATATATTAGCAAGACATTCTAGAGTACAGTTAATTTCATGTTACACGCTGATGTTCGATATGGAGATGGAGTTAATTCTGCTGTGACCCTTCCTAACCTGGTCACAGAATTTTGCACTGTCAGTCATAGATTGCCAATTATGGTACTGCTTATGTGGCTCAGAAATTAGAGCTTTTCTAAATCAGTACTCCCTTCTGCCTCAAAATTACAGTGTCTATTGTTTTAGAGTGATATCGAACCCAATAATAAATTGGAAGAGAGAAGACAAGCTTCAGAAAGTGAAGCATTGAGTCTAGTGTTTAGTCAGTGACAGATTCTTTAATACTTGTAGTCTGGCATCGTCTGTCAAGATTTGTTTACAAGGAAAATGATTCATAGACAGAATCTAATCTATAACATTAGAAACCACTTTCAAACTACAGGCTGTTGCACTCCTGAACACTTTAAGTGGACAGCCACAGATACAAATAGTCTTGGCCATTTGCTGTGTTTTTCTTATGTTAGTTAAGCGGAACAATTTTCCTCTTAGAGGAAACAGTCATTTTCATTAACGTCAAAGAGAAATAAGTGTTATTCCTTAGACACTACTCACCGTCTGCACAACTAAGTGCAAGCTACCAGTTCTGTCACTTTTTACATTTGATTTTGATTTAATGCGTACAGTGGTTTCAAAGAGTATTAAAAATCTGTTGCCTTCTTCCTCTTCACTTGTTGCCCTGCTGGAGGCTTATGTTTTTCCAGTTTCCATCAGTGGTTGTCAAGTCTTTGTAATAGGATTAAAAGCTTGGACACCTGATATCCCTGGGTGCTGCAGTTCACCCTCATAAAAGCTGTTTGCTTTAAATTGAGAGAAAATCAGTTTTTAGTGGCATAATTAATTAAATTATGCAAAGTGTTCCAGATTCAGCATAACACTTTCTGAAGCAGCAATTGGAAGCTCTACATTGCATTCAAACTGCATTTCAATTGATGCTGCACTAGGCTGACCATAGAGTAGCATTTTCAAGGCTTTCAAGCACAAGGGATCCAATTTTGAAATGCAGATGCTTAATGCTGAGTGCTCAAACCCCATACATGTGCACTTGAATAGCCAATTTGGTAGCCAACTAGGTATTTCATGTGCGATAGTGCTGATAGGAGCACTCAAAAATTTGAAATTGAATTTCCAAATGTAAGTACACATGCTTAAAAACTGGGCTCAGATTGTCTCACATTTACTCATCACAGACAACCTGATGGAACCAAAATGACAGTACATTTTCATAATTTAAAAGGCTGACTACAGAATTCGGTGTTTTCCCCATGACTAACATTTCAGCACATATTTTCCATAATGTGAGTTACCTTCTCCCATAATCAGCGGTTACACAACAAACCATTATTTGTACAATGAAGTGGGCCTGTAAAAGCCTGATGCCTGGATTATTTGTATTCATTAGTAGCACAATTAGGTAGCTAAGGATGGTAATAATAAATGAAAACGATTCTGAACTGGAAGGTAATGCAGCCAAGAACAAGAAAATGAAGCAGAAAACTAGACTGTACAATGACAGCCTTGCAAACAAACTCTGATTTAAACATACCAGAGTAATTTTTGCAATCACATCTCTTATTTGCTTAGTCCTTTTCCTTTCTCATTCTGTGCTCAGTGAAATTCAGTTTGCCTAAATTTAGGTTCCCACAATGTGAGCGGAGAAGTTTAGTTCCCCTGCTAGTCAACAGGTACCTAGCCAACAGGGTCTGGAGAACTTTGGACCTCCTTCTGTGAGAGACAGACCTATCTTTGGTCAGCTGAATTTGAATCTCCTGGGTCCAGGGATGACAGTGACCCTTTTCCCAGGATCAACTGCCTAAAGACACACCACGTGAGATGGCCTAAATAATTTGAGACATGTCTTACAGGGTTGGCGAGTCCAATGCAGCACCTGCAGGAGCCCCCATGACTATCTGGAGATGGAGATCAGGCTGGACACTCGAGGGTATCTAGGATAGTAGCACATTCTTATGTCTAGGTATCTAAACCAAACCCTTCTTAATTATTAGTGGAATTCAGAAATTAAAATTAGGTTATCTGCCAGACCCTCAGGTTTTCCCTTCCCTTTCCTTTCATGTGTAAAAGTTGGATATTTTACGG